GGGAAGCCTATCCCATCGATGGGAACCCAGCGATGGTAAGGGTATACCATCGATGGGAAGGCATGACCGTTGGTGGTCATTAAAGGTTGATTCTTTCCTTGTTTGGAAGTCAACCTCCCACCCAGCGATGGGAAGCTTGTACCCATCGATGGGTAGGTGACCGTTGACTTCAAAACAGAAGAAAAATTGGCTTACCAGCGATGGTTGAGTCTAAACATCGATGGGAAGCCAATATTCTGCAGATCCCAAATCTTTTCAATCCCATAAATCAAGCCAATCACCCCTTTAATGCATTGGTCCGTTGGAGCCTTCTTTGGCACTATAAAAAGGGGTGTTTGGGTCTGCTTTTCTTACCAATTCACTTCACAACATCTATACTTTCATTGCATTCAAATATCATCATTTTCTATAGCTTTCTAGAGCCACTTGTGTGAAGGTTGAGTTGTTCTTGAGCGTACTTAGTTTACTCATAATCTACTCTATAAGAGAGTCTCGTTCTTGAGTGTACTTGTGTTCTTAGACACGTTGAGAGATAGTATCTCTCTCGGTTGATTCAAAGGAAGGTCTGTTTCCTTTGAAGGATTCGTTGAGGTTCGTGTGACTTGAACTCTCAAGTTGTAACGGTTTGTTAAGCACCCGTAAGCTTAACGAGTTAGTAGTGTAGCTCGAGAGAGTCTCTCGGGAGGCTGGATTAGCCACAAGTTGTGGTGAACCAGGGTAAAATTCGGTGTGCTTCTTACTCTTCTCTTTACTTCTCTTTTAAATTTTTAATTCCTGCGATTTCTCCGATCAAACGCTATTCACCCCCCCTCTAGCGTTGGTCTTTTATTCTAACAAGAAGAAGAGGCAAATCGCGAGGAAGAGAATCAACACTCAGAGGAGGAAGAGGAACAAGAAATGGCGGCTAATCCTAGACGAACGATCCTTCAAGCCTTGAGCCCGGCGTACGTAGAGGAAGATCCCATAGGTCTCCCCGCTAGTCAAGCCCATTCATTTGAAATCAAACCAGCAATGATCCAAATGGTCTCGAATAACCAATATGGAGGCTCAAAGGCTGAAGATCCAAGAGCGCACATGCTGTGGTTTTCTAGGACCTGCCAAACGTTCCAGTCCAACGGCTTATCCATGGATCGTGTTAAACTGTCGCTCTTTCCCTTTTCCCTTCGGGATCGGGCAGCTAGATGGTTAAATACATTCCCTAATGGCCACTTCAAGACCTGGGAGGCGTTGCACCAGGCATTCATGCACGAATATTTTCCACCATCTGCTATGGTGAAAATAAAGAACTCCATCCAAAACTTCCGTCAAGCACCTATGGAATCGATGTGCGAAGCATGGGAAAGATTCAAGGAATTGAAGGTTAAATGCCCACCTGCTCTAATTGATTCCGATAGTTTGATGTTCTACTTTTACCAAGGCTTAACGGTACCATCTAAGAAGGAATTGGACCACTCTTCTAGACTTGGTTCTTTTCTGGAGATGACACCTGAGGAGAATGTGGAGTTAGTAGATAGACTTACGTCGAATGCTAAATATCGGTATGAAGACCGAGCTCCTCCTCCTAAAGCTGGCATGTATGAAGTAGACCAATTCACAGCCCTCAAGGCTAGTATGGAGAGCATCGTGAAACAAACTATCAAGGAACACCTAGGAGCTTCCCATCCACGTCCTAACTTGTATACTAAACTGGTGAATCAAGCTGAAATCTATGGTTCTGGTAGTCCCCACCAGTCCGATCTTGTCTTGTCTTGTGAGCACTGCTCTCAAAATCATCTTTCCTCTGCTTGTCCCTTGATTGAACCACCCCCTCCGAGTAAGGCTAAAGACGTTAATCTAGCACAATACGTGAATAAAGGGGAAGGACCTTGGGCCCAGAACAATCAGGAGCAATGGCGGGAGAGAAACAACTTTTTTAGAAACAATCGTCCTAGGGATGACTATAAACAAGGTAATTGGAACAACAACAAAACCAACTACCAAAATAACAATACACCCTACGTTCCACCTCATAATCGCCAACCTCCCCAAGAAGATTTCTTGGCAAGAATGGAGAAGATGATGATAGAGTACATGCAGAAGATGAACAATCTAGCAGATGATTTGAAGGAACGCGACAAGACGCGTGATAACCAACTCCAATAAGTGTTCAAACAACTCGGAGTTAGAGAACAGGGGAACCTCCCAGCTACCACCGAACCAAACCCAAGGGAGCAACTTCGGGCCATAACTTTGAGAAGTGGTAAAGAGCTTCAAGGCCCGGAAGTCGAAGCTGATATAGAAGAAGTCCCTGTGGATACTTCTATAGGAACAACCTCTCAAAAGAAGTCTGAATCCACACCCCAAGAGACGAGGAGGGAAGAAACCCCCTCCAGCCAACCCCAACTAGCCAGACAAACTCAGCTAAACACTATTCCCTTCCCTACTAGGGTTAAAAAGAGCAAGGACGAGAAAGCTTTCCAAAAGTTTCTCGACGTCATTGGCCAAGTTGAGGTCAAAATGCCCTTGGTAGATGTGTTAACTGAGATGCCCAAATACGGTAAATTCTTAAAGGACCTCGTAACTAAGAAGAGGGATTGGGAGGAATTCCCAGTTGTCAGCTTAAATGCTGAATGCTCTGCTATGTTACTTGAAGAAATTCCTAGAAAACGAAAGGATCCTGGATGTTTCATCATCCCTTGCTCCATTAACGATAGAACCTTTGGAGACGCTCTAGCTGACCTAGGAGCTAGTATCAATTTAATGCCGTCCTCTATCATGAAAGCGTTGGGATTAACTGGACTCAAACCTACTCAGATGTGTCTTCAATTAGCAGATAGCTCTATTCGTTACCCTAGGGGGGTGATTGAAGACGTACTTGTGAAGGTAAATAAGTTCATCTTTCCTTCTGATTTTGTGGTATTGGATATGGAAGAAGAGAAGGAAAAGCCGATATTACTAGGGCGACCATTCCTTGCGACCGCAAAGGCATTGATTAATGTGCACGACGGAGAATTAACTCTAAGAGTAGGCAATGAAGATGTCACTTTTAAGATGCTGAGCGTCATGAATCGAACTCCAGACCCAACTGAGTTCTGCAACTCAGTTAAAGTCATAAAAGATAAAGGGTTTGTAGAAGATCTTCTAAGCCTAGAAATTGCTTTTCAAGAACCTAAGTGTGAGGAGGTGTGTGTTATCAAGACGCAATCTGAACCCACAAACGAAGCAAAATCTTTAGAACTTAAACCCTTACCATCACACCTTGAGTACGCTTTCCTCGATAGTGAGGGCCAGTGCCCTGTTGTCATAGCCTCCGATCTAACACCTGATCAGAAGAAAAAATTACTAGCTGTCCTCCGTATGCACAAGCAAGCAATTTCTTGGAAACTAGAGGATATTCAAGGAATAAGCCCCGCTTATTGCACACATAAAATAGCCATTGAGGACGGATTTGAACCAGTTGTGCAGGCTCAACGCAGGTTAAATCCAAAATTAATGGAGGTAGTGCAGAAAGAAGTGCTTAGACTCCTGGATGCTGGAATAATTTATCCCATTTCCGATAGCCAATGGGTGTCACCAATCCATGTTGTTCCAAAAAAGGGTGGAATGACAGTAACCAAAAATGAGAAGGGAGAATTAGTTCCAGGAAGAACGGTGACTGGATGGTGAATGGTCATAGACTATAGAAAGTTAAATGATGCCACACGCAAGGATCATTTCCCCCTTCCTTTCATTGACCAACTCATTGAGAAATTAGCTGGCCATGCGTACTATTGCTTCCTGGATGGGATGAGTGGTTATTTCCAAATCCATGTAAATCTCGAAGATTAGGAGAAGACCACTTTCACTTGCCCCTTCGGAACCTTTGCATTTCGTCGGATGTCATTCGGACTCTGTAATGCCCCTGCCACCTTTATGAGGTGTATGATAGCTATTTTTGAAAAGTTTATAGGGGATTTTATGGAAGTCTTTATGGATGATTTCTCTATCACAGGGAAGTCATTTGACGAATGCCTAGGTAATCTAGAAAAAGTTCTCATAAGATGCGAGGAAACTCACCTAGCTCTTAGTTGGGAGAAATGCCAGTTCTTAGTAAAAGAAGGAATAGTCTTAGGTCACAAGGTATCGAGTCGTGGGGTAGAAGTGGACCGCGCTAAAATCAAGACTATCGAGAAGCTTCCACCGCCAAATTCCGTAAAAGCCATCTGAAGTTTTTAGGGCACGCAGGATTTTATAGAAGGTTTATCAAGGACTTTGCTAAAATAGCAAAACCCCTAACTGCCCTACTAGAGAAGGGTATAGAGTTTGTTTTTACGGATGAATGTTTACAAGCATTCAATACCTTGAAAGAAAAACTAATCTCAGCCCCAAATTGGGCACTACCATTTGAACTCATGTGCGACGCTAGCGATTTAGTAGTAGGAGCAATCCTTGGACAAAGGAAGGAAAAGGTTTTTCACCCAATTTACTACGCTAGTAAAACCCTTTCGGGAGCGCAACTCAACTACACAACTACTGAGAAGGAATTCCTAGCAATTGTATACGCTTTGGAAAAATTCGGGCCTTACATCATTCTTTCTCCAGTTGTCGTTTACACCGACCATGCGGCGTTGCGGTACCTGTTGCAAAAGAATGATGCAAAGCCTCAGTTATTACGATGGGTTTTATTGTTGCAGGAATTTGATTTACAGATCAAGGATAGAAAAAGGTTCGGCCAATCAAGCCGCAGATCATCTATCTCGTCTAGATGTGGAAGTAGCCGAGCAATTTGGCAATTGTATAGTGAACGAGTCCTTTCCCTTTGAGAGGATCCACGCTATACAAGAAAAGGAACCTTGGTATGCGGATATTGCCAATTATTTGGCAGGGAAGATTGAGCCTACCTTGCTGACACCGCACCTAAGCAAGAAGCTTAAGCGAGAAGCTCACTTCTACTTTTGGGACGACCCCTACCTTTTCAGGATTTGTGCGGACCAAGTAGTTCGGCGATGCGTGACTGAAGCAGAAGGAAAGGAAATTTTGGCAGCCTGCCATAGTGGCCCAGTTGGCGGACACTTCTCAGGAGCAAGGACAGCAAGGAAAGTGTTGGACTCAGAATTGTTCTAGCCAACGCTTTTTAGGGATGCTAATCAGTTTGCTGCTTCCTGCGACCGCTGTCAAAGAATGGGCAATATATCTAAGAGAGACGAGATGCCACAGCATTACATGCTGCCATGTGAAGTATTTGATGTGTGGGGAATCGACTTTGTAGGGCCATTCCCGAGTTCTTATGGTAATAAATACATCCTCGTTGCCATCGATTACGTCTCCAAATGGGTTGAAGCCCAAGCTTGCAAAAGAGACGATGGCCGTACTGTGGTTCGCTTCTTAAAGAAACTGTTTTCGAGATTTGGAGTTCCAAGACTAATAATAAGTGACAAGGGTACCCATTTCCGAAATGATCCGCTATCTAAGGCGTTAGAACGTTATGGAGTTCAACATAGAGGAGGAGTGGCGTACCACCCTCAGACGCAAGGGCAAGTGGAAAACGCAAACAGGGATTTAAAGAGAATCTTGGAAAAGACTGTTGCCCGAACGAGGAAGGATTGGAGCGAGAAACTTGATGATGCCCTATGGGCATTTCGCACGGCTTATAAAGCGCCAATTGGTACAACTCCCTTTCACTTGGTGTACGGAAAGTCTTGTCACCTTCCAGTACAAATTGAGCATAAGGCATTATGGGCACTGCGTAGGGTTTGCCTTGATTCTTCTGAAGCTGGGCGAGAAAGATTTTATCAGCTAGATGAGCTAGACGAATGGCGAGCATTAGCATTTCATAATGCTAAGCTATACAAGGAAAGGATGAAGCTTTATCATGATGCTCATATCAAGCAAAATAGGGTCTTCCACGACGGCGAAAGAGTGTTGCTTTATAATTCCCATTTAAGATTGTTCCCAGGCAAACTTCGCTCCCGATGGACAGGGCCCTACACAATCACCAGAATCTTCCCTTATGGGACTGTAGAGTTGAGAGGTGAATTTGGTACGTTCAAGGTCAATGGGCAACAGATTAAGAGGTACTTTGGTGAGCAGTTTCAAAAAGGGAAGGTGGAGATTAAACTCCACAAATGATGAAGTAATTGCTTCAAGCTAGTGACGTTAAAGAAGCGTTGAACGGGAGGCAACCCGTTATTTCTCTCTGTTTTATTCAATTATTATTTTCTGTTACTCTTTATTTGAATAAATGAACGGAGACTTGTCGCACCTATATGGGGGCAAGATGTTATATGTGTATTTCATGTGCAGATGCCTCACAGGCCAGCATTCCCGACTGCTATGCGTGCCGATGTTCACTTGGTGGGTTCAGGGCCCATCGAGCGATTTGAGATGTGGGGCCGCCATCGCTCATTGACGGAGTCTGTGTACCTGTCCTCGGCAGTTCTCACCGATTACGGATACGCTGAGGAGATGGAGCAGCTGCTACGAGGGACGAGGTGGCATCGCCTCTTCACGATGCGAGCTGAGTCCAGCCTGCCACTCACGATCGAGTTTCTGTGCTCTCTTGAGCTGGAGCCGTCTACGGGGTCACGGTCGATGAACTTCCAGTCCATCGACTCTCATACCACCCTCACCTTCACTCTCCTGGTGCGGGGATTTCAGCTGACGATCGCCGAGCTGGCCACTCACTTGGGTCTCTACTCTCGGGAGGAGACGTTTGCACCAGAGTTTGATGCCGCACCATACCTTCTCCCTGCGGACGTTGATCCTGCTGACTTTTGGGCGGAACATTCTTCCGACCCAGACCGCTTTGAGGGCATGGGTCGGGCCAGGTTTTGGATTCAGCCGACTTGGCGAATCCTATCTTTTGTGCTTTCGACATCCTTCTTTGGGAGGCCGTTGAACACGGATCGGGTATACCCCGATGACATGATGGTCTTCTGGAGCTTGCACACACGCCAGGAGGCGAATGTGGCTGTCTTTGTGGCCCGATTCCTCTACAGCTAGTCTATGGGGAATCGGACTCACATTGTCTGTGGTTTCGTGGTCACCATACTCTTCCGATCACTCGAGGGGGCGGCGCCCATTCCGCAGGCACAGATGTTGATGCGAGATTTGGACGCGGGCATGCTGAGGAATGCTCACATCCGTAGGAGGTTGGGAGCTAGCTCTACCGAGAGCAACGGTGCTTCTTCATCTGCGCCCTCGACCTCAGGAGCATCTTCGCAGGTCTTGTCTAGGAGAGCCACTCGTCGCCGTCCCACTTCTTAGGCCGCTCCAGCCACGACCCAGGCGGATCCGACCCCTGAATGGGCTAGGAGGATCCTAGAGCAGCAGGATACCATCATGCAGAGGATGTCCGAAATCGGACAGCAGCAGGCATCCCAGGCTGAGAGCTTTGCCCTGCTTCGGAGGACCTTTACTGGCTTTTACTCAGATGTGCACATTGGGCTCACCCCTCGCTCTCCTGAGGGCGATGATCCATCCGCTTCTGTTCCTCCCCCTTAGTGATCTTCATATTATTTTCCTTTGAAAACTATTTCTCTTCGTTTATGAGCAGGAATTGATGATCAACTGGATTGTTGGAACTTCTTATTTTCCACCGGTAACATTTACTTATGCACTTGCTCTATTTCTATTTCAATCAACTCCTTTTGATTTATTGATGTGTGAGTTCTTTTGTTATTAGTCAATCATCCCAACCCGGGAAAGTTACCTGGTTGAAATGATCGAATGAGACGTGTTTTACTTGTATACTTGTAGACCACTTTGGTTTTAGCATAATCATCAGTCTAATATTGAATAGTTAATCGATAGGGTGTCAAGCATATAAATTGAGAATTTTCAAAGGTTTTGGCAAACTCCTATTTTTACGTGATTTTTTTTTCGAATAGACTACCACCATTGCTGAAATTAACTAGTATTTTCTTAAAAAATTTTTTTCCAGATACTTTAATTACCTTTAAAAGCTATTGATTTCACTGGAATTCTTAACAATGTGTAAAGGTCTGCACTAAATATTTGCTTCTTGTACCTTTAATCATGAATTTTTGCTAAGATTGCGCTTAAGTGACGAATTGGAAATTCTATCTCCTGAAAAGGAGCTCTGCTTCTCCCGTTAATCGCATAAGGCGAGGGAGCAAGTATGCATCTGACATAGAATAAATCCACAATCTTGGTAAGATAATTAAGTTTCTGTGAAATGAGAAGCCTTCTCATCAAGAAACAACACATATTGAAGTTATTAAGGCCTTTACATTATTGGCAATTATTCGTGAACAATGGGCTTTAGAAGAGATAGTTGAGTCTATTTGATCTTAACAATTTTTTTTAAGAAATACATTCATTTCAGTAAATGGTTTGCTTCTATTTGATTTAATCAAGTAAAATACGTGTTTGGTGAAAACTTGGCAAATTTTCAGAAGAAATGAGAGACAACTCTAAAAGTATAGCTATTTAACGAAGTCTAATGATTATGTTAGTTGAATTGGCCTCATGATGATGCAATTAAAGCTTTTTTCAGCAATAATAATAAAATGTCATACCCTCAGTGGTCTAAAGTTGTTGCTTGAGGGCAAGCAACGTTTAAGTGTGAGGAATTTGATAAGTTCATTTTGTTCTTATTTTATTCTACATATTTTAAGCGTTATTGCACGAAAATAGAGATAAGCAGTGCATAATTTTATGTTAAACTGAACAATATATTTGATTTGTTCTTTAAGGAATAATAATTGGTTTAAAATCTGTCTCGTCTTGATTGTTGATTTTTCTACATATATTTGAAAGAAGAAAATTTTTTTTTAACTGAGATTTTTTATCATGAGAAATTTGGAGGAAACTGAAACAGACTGCGAAGCAAAGTGAAAATTGAAAATTGGGCCCGAATAGGATCAAGCCGCAGAAAAAGCCCACAGGAGAAGGCCCGAAGCGTCCAACCTTGGACGCTTTGCAGGTTGGACGCTTCCCCTTGGACGCTTGGCGATGATTGGGCGTCAAGAATGACACGTGGCAAGCAGCGAATGGACGGGCCACGTAAGGCATCCAACTTTGGACGCTTTGGATCCGGACGGCTGGGGGTTGGACGCTTCGCATCTGATCCTATAAATACAACACTCCCCCTCTCCGATTTAACACGCTACACAGCGCCCCTCTTCTCCCAAAAACCCGAATTTCTCCATTTTTTGTCTAGATTTACAAAGCCACTTTCATATTTTAGATTAGTATTATTCCTTGGAGTTTTCGCGGAGCAAATTGTAGCCCGGATCTCAGTTCTTCAAATTTGTTGAAGTAAGTTTGTTAACTTTTTACTATCAACTGAAAAATGTCTTCTTATGATGCATGTGTGTTGGAAGTTTTTATTATGAGTAGCTAAATTAATTGGTGATGTGATTATTGGAATGGTGATGGTAATTTTCTAAGAGAATCATTGACTTGAATTATAAAAGGGAATTTACTAGTTTTTATTACTGAGAGTTTATACTTGAGATTTGTAAATCGAGAGAAACCAAATCTATTTTTTTGAAAATTATATTTCTTGAGAAATCTGGAATTTAATTAAGTCAAGTCCAGTAGTTTGATAATTGATCTTTAGACATTGGATTGATTGTTAAGTAAATAATTGAAAAGATGTTTACTTACTAGTAAAAAGATTTAAGTAACTGGTGATTTTACTCTAAAAAGAACCATCACCTAACCAATAATTACATCCCTACCTTTTATTTCTGAGAGATAAAAATTCAATCTCCATTCCTTATTCGACCTTTTGAAAACTTTTTGATTCATTGAGTAAATCTTGTCTAACTAGTCTTGCTTAACTTTCCCTTGGGCCGATCCTTGAGACGACACGGGATAAACTGATCTTTTAGAAGATCTAGTCTGTTCCCTTTACTACTACGGGAGTTTTGCGTTAAAGTAAAATTCCTCATCA